CAGGTCATGAGTTGAGAACATATCTGGCAATTTGATGCAACAAATTACGGTAAGTAACTATTAAAGTTGCCTCAAAAGAGAGCGAAATAACGCATATAGGCACGAATATGCCCACGAGATGAGCAAATCGGCAATCTAGAACTCTGGGATACACCTTTCCACTTCACAAGTTGCAGGGTTAGGTCAAAGCCACCAAAGTTATTTAATTTATTCAATTTTGAAAGTAATACGTACTTTATCTGCCTTTGTAAGATCGACGAGAGCGCCATCAAAGTGGTGTAGCTGCTGAAACAGATTGCCTCTTGCAAGAAATGCCTCCCTCTTCATACTCCTTGATTTCGCATAAAAGAGAGAATAGGTGAAGTAGTGTAGAGCAGTTCTCATTTCATTATTAGCTTGATATTCATATCCCTTTCGCAGACACTGCATTGACAACTCATCATCCTTCCCTGTGCTTGCAACTAAATCTTCGAGCTTTTTGGGCAGTGGGAGAACTTCTATCCCTTTCGGTTTCTCTTCTTCTTCTTCCTCCTCATCATCAGTATCATCATCAGTATCGCTATCATCTTCATCCTTTTCTCTATTTTCTGTAATTTGTGTCATTGTCAAATTTACAATAGGAATAGATAAAAAAGAACGGAAATTACCCCGGGAATTGAAAGTGCCCTGAAAGAGTTTTAGGAGGAAGCAAACACGCTCAAAATCTGTTTTACAACCGGCAAAATCAGAATTGTATTGTCTTATGTTTCCACATTTCATCACCATCCTACTAACAGTGTAGTAGTAGTCCTTTATAGCCACAAGGGAATCACCTTTTTCATGGAGTTTTAAGCGATCATCCAATTCAGTCTAAAGTTTGAAAAAAAATTCAAAATACAGTTTCAGCTAATACACCTTTCTTATGTAACATGATAAAAACGATCAGCTAATCAAAGAACCCATTATGAGGTTCAAATGAGACAGGAAATCATGCAAAGTTGAAGACCTTGGGGTCCAAATTTACTTGCTTAAGGAACAGAATTGTAACGGATTGCTAAACTAGACAAGTCTGACTGACTCAGAAATCTCTATGGCAGATCCTCCAACATCTGACTCAGAAATCTCTTTGGCAGATTCTCCTACATCTAGACCGACTCAGAAATCTCCATGGCAGATTCTCAAACATCTAGCTACCGGCTCAGAAATTTCTATGGCAGATTCTCCAACATCTAGCTAGGAATCAGAAATCTCTATGGCAGATTCTCCAACCTCTAGCTAGAGAACAGCTAAGCTATAGCTCAGCTATAAAGAAAACAGACGTGTAGCACGGAGCGCGTTTATATCTGTGGCAGATTCTCCTACATCTAGCTAGACTCCCAGAACGGCAGATTCTCCAACGTCTAGCTAGACTCCCAGAACCAGGGAGATTCTCCTACATCTAGCTAGACTCCCAGAACCAGCTAAACCATAGCCCAGCTATAAAGGAAACAGACGAGTAGCACGGAGAATTCTCCAACATCTAGCTAGACTCCCAGAACAAGCTAAGCTATCGAACCAGCTAAGCTATAGCCCAGCTATAAAGGAAACAGACCGAAACTAGCTAAGCTATAGCCCAGCTATAAAGGAAACAGACGATAATTCGGAACACGTATATTCAGTCACGTAATGATCAGAAAAGTGTGCACGGAGCACGTTTATTCAGGACGTATCTTGCGGATCAAGTTCACGGAGCACGTTTATTCAGTGGGTATGTTGCGGATAAAGTGTCTACGCAGGAAGCTTAATTATGATCAGGATGGCGGATTAGGTTAAACAAACAGAGGTTAATGATTGGTCACTGTACGGTCGTACCTCCCCATCCTGGCGTGCAAGCATGCGATGACGTGTCCCGCAGACTAGACTCACGCTAAAATGCTATCTTAGAAGAAAAAATTCCGGGCTTTTGACCCTCCAATCTTTACTAACTTCATTACCACGAGATAAGGAGTCGGCTATGCTGTTGGCACATTTATTGAGGGAGCAAGCCCAGAGGGTTCGTCTTGGAGATCTCACAACCAGGCTTCAGGGAAGAAGAAACTGTCTTTGGAATGCCACGAAAAGTCCTCCCTTTCTCATAGCCAGAAGCATACTTTAACCCTTTAACGCCCCTTTGGACTGTACGGTCCACTTTTCAAAATAAGCTCCATTGGTACTAGATTCGTAACAGAAGGTTCAATACGTCTGATGCCACCAAAACTCACCGCGCAGGCGGCATTAGTCTGCTATGAAACACGCATGGGTGGAGTTGGGTGTATTTTTCAAAAAAAATAAATCTTCACTAACTTCATTACCACGAGATAAGGAGTCGGCTATGCTGTTGGCACATTTATTGAGGGAGCAAGCCCAGAGGATTCGTCTTGGAGATCTCGCAACCAGGCTTCAGGGAAGAAGAAACTGTCTGCTAAGAAACACGCATGGGTGTGGTTGGGAGCATTTTTCAAAATAAAAATAAATCGGATATCTAGGGTTTAATTCACCAGACGCGACTAATAATCTAAAAGAGCGTTTACTCAATTTTACTGCAGCACAAATGAAGTCTATGTCCTGACCTCTCTAGGGTCGCTAAAACAGCCAGTACTTTCGATTCGTGCAATAAAACTTTACACTTTAAAGGAATTGGTAAAGTAATGAGGAAATCTCAAAGTTGTCAATGATCGGTGTTAGAGACGAAACTACCTCCTCTTAGGCACACATCTTAACACACAGCTTTCGAGTGCTCTACTTCAAGCTCTTTTGTGGTCTTGGGAGGGGGGAATTGCATAAATAGCAGAATTTTTGTTTGAAATATGTCACTATTTCAAAATATTCATCAAAGAATGAGTGACTTAAGCATTTATTAAGGAAACGAAATGACTAAAGCATTGAAATGTCAAATGGGTTTTTATACATGTGCGTAGAAACGCGGGGCCAGTAAAAAATGTAAATTTACCTGCTTGAAACTTGGCATTTTCTTGATGAATTAAATTATATACAAAAATTCTTCTCAAATTTGAAATAATTAGTCGTCAAGATTGCTTATCATTGCAACTAAATTTTGAGAAGGGCTTAACAACTAACACTCACAGTGTGCAACTCATGCGATGCGATAACTTCTATCAAGTGTAGAACTCACGAAAAGGATAACAGTGAATATTTAAAACCAAGCGAAGTCTGAGCGTGGCATAGTGGAGTTATATCGGTGAACTTGGGCAGTAGACTTCTGACTTCAAACTACCATGACCCCACTGTATGTCATATTCCACCATCTTGACAGTACTCATCTTACCTTTTCTCTGCCTTTGTGTGAATCACTCTTCTGTCCTTCCTCTCGAAAATTTCCCACTTTGATGTTCCTCCTCCTCTCTGTGAAACCCAAAGTCAGCTAAAGGGCTAATGATAACTATCGAAACCTCTGCCTTTTGAAATAATTAAATATTGGTGAACTCCGAATTTTAGTCA